CCGTCGATCGTGTGGTAAACCGCATCGGATGCCGCGGTTGGGTCCGTCCCGACCGCGACAAGGCGCCGGGGATCGACCTGATCCACGACCTCCGCCTGTTGGTGGAAGACCTCAGCGACTCGGTCGATCTGCCCGCCGACGCCGTCGGCGAGCAGGTGCTCACCGTCGAGGACCTCGCCAAGCAGTTCAACGTTTCGACCAAGACGATCGCCCGCTGGCGTGAGGCCGGCCTCGTGAGCCGTAGGCTGGTGTTCGACGGCCGGAAGCGCGTTGGCTTCTTGCGGAGCAGTGTCGATCGGTTCGTCCGCGCCAATCAGGAGCGGGTCGAGCGCGGCGCGCGGTTCCGCCAGCTCACCGTCGAAGAGCGGGCCGAGCTGATCGACCACGCCCGCCGTCTGGCGGACGAGGGACACAGCCGTCCCGAGGCGATCCGTCTGCTGGTGGACCGCACCGGCCGCACGGCGGACACCGTGCGGGCGACCCTGGCGACCCACGAGGAGAAAGAGGCGATCTTTGCCGAGACCGGCGGTGTGCTGACCGACCGGCAGAAGGAGCAGATCCTCGACGAGCACCGCAGCGGAATCTCGGTCGAGAAGCTGATGAAACGCTACGCCCGCTCGAAGACCACGATCTATCGCCTGGTGGCCGAGGCCCGTTATGAGCGGATCCAGCGGCTGCCGCTGGACTTCATCGCCAACGACCGCTTCCGCCGTCGCGGCGCCGACGCGGCCTGCCTGGGCCCAATGCCCGAGGCCGAGACGACCCCGCGGAAGGTCCGCCGCCCGAGCGACTTGCCGGCCTACTTGGCGAGCCTGTACGAGGTCCCGCTGCTCACCCGTGAGCAAGAGGCCCACCTGTTCCGCAAGTACAACTACCTCAAGTTCAAGGCCGCGCGGCTCCGCGACACGCTCAACGCCGAGCGTCCGCAGACGGCCGTGATGGACGAGATCGAGGACCTGTACGCCCAAGCGGTCGAGGTGAAGAACTACCTGTCGCGGGCCAACCTGCGGCTGGTGGTGTCGATCGCCAAGAAGCGGATGACCCCCAATCAGAGCTTCTTCGAGCTGGTCAGCGACGGCAACGTCTCGCTGATGAAGGCGATCGAGAAGTTCGACTTCGCCCGTGGCAACAAGTTCAGCACGTACGCCACCTGGGCGATCGTAAAGAACTACGCCCGGACGATTCCCGGTGAATACAAGCACCAGGACCGGTTCCGGACCAGCTACGACGAACTGTTCGACGCCACCGAAGAGCACCGGGCGAACCCCGTGCTGCGCGAGGCGGCTCAGGCCGACCGGGTGGAAAAGATCCGCAAGATCCTCCGCCGGCTGGACGACCGCGAGCAGCAGATCGTGATCCGCCGCTTCGGCCTCGACCACAACCGCGAGCCGCTGACGCTCAAGGAAGTGGGCGCCGAGATGGGGGTCACCAAGGAGCGGGTCCGGCAGATCGAAGCCCGGGCGTTGACGAAGCTGCGGAAAGCCGCAGCCGAGGATCGGATCGCGCTGGAGCTTTAGGGCCGACGAACTTCGAGATTCAAGAGCATCGATCAAGCCATTGGGCGGGGTGACCCTGCTCAATGGCTTGCATTTTGCGCCGCCGGCCGAAGCGATACATGCGTCCACTTCTAGCGCAGGTGGCCGCTATGACGCATCCTGGGCGATCTGGCGCGGGTCTGGCGCCGTGGGCGGAGGCGTCGCGTCGGCATCGGCGAGCAAAGTTTTTTTGGGGCCTCTCGCCGAATGCCCCAGTTGGGCCGCGAAATCTTTGCGGAAACCGCCCCGAATGCCATGGGTGGTGGGGTTGCGGGGTACAGGCCCCCCGCTATATTGGGCGATTCCCACGACTTTCCGGCTTCCGGTACGGAGTGAGGTTACCCGGGGCAGGCGCCGATAAAGGCTTGTCCAGGGTGAACTTGATCCGTCGCCAGCAGTCGGTTGATCTCAGAGCGAGCTGAAAGGTTAGTTTCTCGAGACCGCCGGAGTGCTGGGCAGGCCCGCTGACGGCGGGTGAGGCCTGGGGCGTCACTTGTGTTGCTAGCGTAGCTCAATTGGCAGAGCANNGTGGGTTCAAGTCCCTCCGCTAGCTTTGGCCGGCGACGGGCGGCAGGCCGATGGGCTTGCCGTCGGTGGTTGGCGGATGTTGCGGCGGGAGCGGCGAAGGCGGCCGCTTTGGCGGGCTGGCCTTGGTCGGCTGCGAGCCAAGGGGTCGGGTTGCCGGGGCGAGAGCCCGCAGGCGACGCGAAGGCGGGGCGGCGACGCCGAAACAAGGTGGGTTACCGAAGTGGTCAAACGGGTCTGACTGTAAATCAGATGGCTTACGCCTTCGCAGGTTCGAGTCCTGCACCCACCACTGTGCTTATGGGCGGCTCCACCTGGCTATCGCCAGGATGTCGCTCGCCTAGATTGATTGGGCGGCTTTGCTTGGCTTCGCCAGGGTGTCGCTCGCAAGAGAAGTGATTGAGGAGCGAAAGCGGAGGCGACACGAAGGTTTCGTCAGTTGGTGAAGGTGGAGGACCGTTGGGCTACTCGCCTTTCCGCATTCCACTTTCGCCTCTCAGCTGCGGGTGTAGCTCAATGGTAGAGCA